TCTCTCTCTCTCTCTCTCTCTCTCTCTCTCTCTCTCTCTCTCTCTCTCTCTCTCTCTCTCCTCTGACAATGCTATGGGTTTGACCACCCAAAGTTTGCTCATCGGCCACCGCCAGGAAAGACTGCCTCTTCCCACCGCTGTCCTTGACCCCTGATCACCCCAGCACCAGCGCCCCTACTTCCTCCCTTGGCGCAGCTATGGCTGCCACCAACCAGGAACAGCTGACCGTGCCTGCTCCCTCCTCTTCCTCTGTGGATGCTCAGGGCCTGGCCACGTGTGCTTGCCCAATGCTGGTGCTGGGAGCCAGTACCTCCAAATGTGTGGCATGATGCTGTCTCCCTTACTTTTGTCTCTTCCTGGAGGCCACGGCAGCCTGGTTGGTACTGGGCGCAACCCAGTCTGGTAAAACTTCAGCGAAGCTTCCCGGCTGGGTACCTGGGGGGCCTCAGCCTCTTCAACTAACGGGGAGTCTGGGCCTACCCGTTATCTAGAGAGGTTGTACCCAGCATAATAGTAAGAAGAATACGACTTTAATTAAAAGTGAACTGCCCCGTGATGAGCCACCGGACTGGCGCCCCCCAGAATACATGGGGCTCGTGCTTTTGTGTAAAAAAAAAAAAAAAAAAAAGCAAAAAAAGGGTAATTAATAATTACATTATAACAATGCATGGGCAATCACCATCCTACCCACCTTTGCCTGCAGATCCTTGAGTAGTTGTTCTGCCTGATCCGTCAACTCAGATGAGTCATCAGCCTGCGCTCTCACAAGTACTCTTCTCCTTTGAAGCTTCCATGAAGACTCTGCAACCACATTCAAGAATCAACAAAACAGATCAAGCAGATATCAACCTTAATGGGGAGGAGCGTGGTGTGAGTCAACCTTGTAACTATTCATTGACTTGCCGGGGGAATAGGAACCGGACTGTTGCTCCCCAGACTGGCAAGAGCCAGACCAAGAGGTTCTGATTAAAAAAAAAAAAAAAAAAAAAAAAAGATCAAGCAGATATTCTCCTCTCCATTCAACAGTCGATACAACCACAAACAAGAAAAAGAAGGAAAAACAAGAAAGCTTGTTGGCCATTGCTGCTAGACAATGTTCTGTGCTGAAACCCCCCGCCGAAGACAACTTAAAAAAAAAAAAAAAAAAAAAAAA